ACCATCATCATCATCAGCAGCATCATCAGCATCATCAGCATCATCAGCGTCAGCATCAGCATCAGCATCAGCATCAGCATCAGCATCAGCATCAGCAGCAGCAGCAGCATCATCATCATCATCATCATCATCATCAGCATCATCATCATCATCATCATCATCATCATCATCATCCACCTTCCCCCCTCCAACTTATGGCGGTGGTGGTGGAAAACAGGCTTATCATCTTTGGGGAACCTCAACTGTCCAATCGCGCCAGCCATCCGTGTCGCATCCATGCCGAGTGCATGTCGGACGTGTCGAATGCTTGTCGAGTCCATGAGGGTCCGTGTCGAATCCACGTCGAATTCACGTCGCATCCGCGCCGAACCCAGGTCGGAGTACAAGAAAAGACTGCCATTCACTGTGCAGGAGAGCTTCTCCAAAGATGAGTACGGGAGGGAGGGAGGCTGGAAAAACATAAACATGTCGGCGGTGGACAAACCTCCCTTTAGTAAACCTTCCTTTAGTGAAAACGGCCTGGGACCGAAACCGACGGACCTGGACCCGCAACATAACGGCCGCGACGCCCTCTCGCGAGCCGAAAACAGCCAATTCACTAATCGACGTGTCAGGGTAGGAGGTCTATCAGGGTGCGGGAGGAGGAGGAGGAGGAGGAGGAGGAGGAGGAGGAGGAGGAGGAGGAGGAGGAGGAGGAGGAGGAGGAGGAGGGAGGAGGAGGAGGAGGAGGAGGAGGAGGGGAGGAGGAGGAGGAGGGGAGGAGGAGGAGGAGGGGAGGGGGAGGGGGAGGAGGGGGATGAGGAGGAGAAGGAGGAGGCTGGAAAAACATAAACATGAACATCAGCGTTCGGAGGTCTGGGCGGCCCCAGGGCATCGGCGCTGGACCCCCCTCCCCCGACGCGGCGCGCGGAGCGCGCCAGGTCCAGCGCAGATCGACGACTACGTCTGCAGTGGGTTTCTGTCGGCGACTCCACGGGGTGTGGTTTGCAGAGGGTGTGGTTTGCAACTGGCACCCTACGGGAACATCCTGGGGGTGCATCCCCAGGGAGCGCGCGGGCACCTCGATCTTGCCGTCGCTCGGACGTCCATTTCCCGTGCAGTTGTCGGTTTCGTGCGTGTTATTTTGCTCGATGGTCCAGGATGGTCTTCAGGGGTCCTCGCCGAGAAAAAAATACACATGTCCGAGCGATGCCAGGCGATAGAGTCCTCCTGCGCCCCGAGGAGGCCCGACGAGGACACGGCGTCGTGCCCCCCCGGGCCCCAACGCTGCCGATCGCACACCACACCCCGGCGCGACCATGCCCTTTGCAGTCGCCGATGTTGTCTTCGAGCGGCGCAGGGCCTGGCCCGTCCCGACGTACCGCATCAGCCCCCAGCATGACGCGCCGGCGGCGTCGCAGAGGGCCCTGCTGGAGTCCAGCAGCTCCTCGCTCCACGCCTCGCCAGGCCCGCCCAGCGGGTACTCGCCTTTGGTCGGGCATGTCCCCCTCCAGGCGGATTTTGAAGGACAAATCAAAATACAAAAAAAATACAACTAAATTGTCAAACAAATAATGTTTTTTTGCACTATGTATGAATGTTCCTCCTGTAGAGGGACGTGCCCGACGTAATACTTGCCTCGAGGCGCACCAGCCGTGGGGCGCACAGCGAGAACGGAGTCGTCGACATCGTCGTGGAGGCCATCGTCGACGACGACGACGATGTCGACGGCGTCGTCGAAGACGTCGTCGTTTCTAGGAAGGTTCTCGTCACACCAGCTGTCGGCGGCGAGAGAGGAGGGAATTGTGCAAGGGCGGGCCTTCTCAGAAGGCTCGGAAGTCCCCCGACCTTCTGAGAGGTTTCCTGAGCCTTCCTCGCAGACACAAAAAACCTATCAAAAAACCGATCCCGCCGCCTTCTGAGAAGGCCTTCTCCTTCTCCCGAAGCCAGGAGAACCCAGAATCGAATCGATAAGTCGGATCGGTGATCGAAATGAATCGAATCGGCGGGAATCGGCAGCCGAGTCGGGAAAAGTCGAATCGGCAGACATCGGCTGGCTACTAGGCCTCCATTGAAAAATCGGACACCAAATCGGCATCCGAAACCGAATCGAATCGGAATCGGAATCCATCGAAATCGAATCGGAGGAATCGAAATGAGCCCTGCAAGGCTGGGCGCGGCTGGAAAAACGGGCCAGGAGGGGCCCTGACAGACGTCGGGGGGCCGGCTCTGGGTGGATTCTGATGGGGGGCAAGAAAAGCAACGAGGGCGGCCCTCACAGCAGACGTGGGGCTTGTTGTAAGGGTCCGGCCTCCCCTGTGGGGAGCCCACAGAGGACGTGCGCTCAGGTCGGGCATGTCCCCCTACAGGCGGATTTTGGACGAAAAGTGAGAAGTATGATGAAAATGCTAAAAACTACTCCAGTAATGATCAAAACATCGTTCCCAGTCTATGTTTTCACTATCTTTGAATGCTCCTCCTGTAGAGGGACATGCCCGACTTCAACGTACGCACCCAAGCACGTACATGAACACGGCCCTCCAATCAGCGAGATCGGCCGCGTGGTACGAGCGTTCGCGCAGTGCGTACTCCCGAAACCAATGTGGATTCGTGTAGGTGTACGTCCTTCTTCCGCTCCTGATTCTGAAGGGCGTCTACGACGGCGGGTGGGCTTCTGAGGAGGCCGCGGGGGATATGAGGGCCCTGGGGGGGCAGTCTTGAGCGGATTCCTCTCGGGAGTTATGCATTTGGGGCGCTTTCGAAGAAGGTACAGCAGATGTCTTAGGAGGTTCTGCCGATGACATCCTATGTGTTGGGTCGTAACTCACCAGCATCATCATCAGCATCATCATCAGCATCACCATCAGCATCATCAGCATCATCAGCATCACCATCACCATCACCGTGATCATCATCACCATCATCAGCACCACCACCACCACCATCATCATCATCAACAACATCATCATCATCATCATCATCGTCATCGTCATCGTCACCGTCACCGTCATTGGCATCATCACCATCATCAGCATCAGCATCAGCATCAGCATCAGCATCAGCACCAGCATCATCGTCACCACCACCACCAGCAACAACAACATCATGATCAACAGAATGAGCCTCATTTCTGCACAAAACTCACACGGCAAACCCCTCCCACGTTTCGTGCCCCACAACGCGCTTCACCGAAAGTCCCAGCGGCGCCAGCATGGCGTCACCCCGCCCATTTCGGCACACCCCTCACACGCTTCGTGGCCCCAAAGGGAGCTCCTCCCAAGTCTCCAGCGGCAGCGCACCCCGCCAATTTCGGCATACATATCGCACAGTTTGCGACCCCACAATGGGCTCCACTAAAGGCCCCGGTGGCAGCCCACGCATTGTTCTTGACCCCTCAGGGAGCTCCACCGAAGGCCCCAGCGGCATCGCCCGCATGGCGTCATGCCGCCCATTTCGGCACACCGTACACCCCTCACACGTTGGGTGGCCCCACGGGGACCCCCACAGAAGGCCCTACTGGCAACGACCGCATGCCGTCACCTCGCACATTTCGGCATACGTCTCGCACGTTTTGTCACCCCACAGGGCGCCCTACTTAGGGCCCCAGTGGCAGCGCCCGCATGATGTCATGCCGCCCATTTCGGCATACCTCTCACACGTTTCGTGACCCTACAGGAGGCCCCATCGAAGGCCCTACTGGCAGCGCCCGTGCTACATCACCCCGCCCATTCTGGCATACCCCTCGCACGTTTCGTCACTCCACTATCGTTCCACCTGCCGTGCGGTACTCAGACTTGCATATGGTTGGGTCCTTCGCCAGAGTAACGTGTTCAATGAGGAGTCCTCAAAATCTCCGACCCTTTCCCAACGCCAGTTCTTCATCCGGACTCTTTTGTTGACATTCATAGAGGCCCGAAAACGTTCTCCCAAAAACGAACACAGCACACTATATCCGTCTTACGAATAGTCACTGCTTCTTGGTATGCGCCAACTTAGACTTCGACGGCCCAGGCATGAGAGCCTTCCACGGTGCGACGTCGTTGCCGTCGTCGTCGAGATAGTCGTTGTCGTGAGCTTCGTCGACCGTGCCGTCATCGTCGTAGTCAGCGTCGCCGCCGTCGTCGGTATGGTGATGGTCGCCCTCGTGGTCATTGACGTCATCGTGGTCGTCGTCGCGTCGTTGTCGTCGACGCCGTCGTCGACGCCCTCGTCGTCGTCGTCGTCGCCGTCGGGCCTCGAACACCTACGAGAATACCCGCGGCCGAACAAAATGATCCGATGTGAAAGAACAAATGCGACGCCATGATCTTAGGACTGGCGACCCCCCCCGCTCGCCCTCGATCTCCCAGCAGCGCGCCCCTCTGAGCTCCACGTACTCCCCAGCGCAACCCGCCCGCGGCGCCGCCTCGGGAGGGCCCATTGACGCCGCCCCCCCTCGCCAGGGTGGCTGGCGCTTCCATCCAGGCCTTGGAACGCCGTGGTTTCTTCACGGCGTGAACCTCCCTCGTCCATACTCATCGCCTTCATCCTCCACCTCCTCCAACTCCTCCTCCTCCTCCTCCTCCTCCTCCCGCTCCACCTCCTCCTCCTCCTCCTCCTCCTCCTCCTCCTCCTCCTCCTCCTCCTCCTCCTCCTCCCGCTCACTCTTCGTCTTCCTGCTCCTCCTCCTTATCCTCTTCTCCGCCTCCTCCCGCTCCTCATCCTTCTCCTCTCCTGTCCCCTACTCTGGTCTCCTCGTTTCCATTCCTGGTTGGCCATTTGCTTTGCCCGACGAATCTCATCTGCCCAGGTTGCTGCAAATGTCCTTGACCGTGGGAAATGCAGCGGAGACGTCTCCCCTGACGTCCAACGCCGTGTTTTCATTCACGGCGTGGATACATCCCCAGGGGTCTAGAGCTTATCCCTGGACAACTCCCCTCATCATGAGGGGGGGGGTTGTTTTCCCACAGCACCGCGTCCTCATCCTCCTCCTCCTCCTCCCCCTCCTCCTCCTCCTCTTGCTCATCCTGCTCCTCCTCCAC